GGCAGGACACGGTTTGATGACGCCTGTCAGGACGTCGCGACACGCCCATATCAGCGACATGCTCAGCTCTAATTGAAGGACACATTGTCCGTGGCCGCAACGACTGCAGGCCGGCAATAAAAGGTGCCGACGAGACAAATGGTCGCTGCAGGTGACGTAATCGTGCCGACGGAGGTGTGCTGGTGATTGCAGCGGCTCTAATCCGCCCGGTGGGCTCGGCCCGCCTGTCACCAGCTCGTGCCGCGCCCCAGAGCCCAGCAAATTGGGCGGTCTCATTGGCCGCACCGAGCGGCCGTCCTGCGCTCATTGGCCGCAATCCTCCCATATAAAACACTTAACCGTAATCAACGACAATTTTCGCCATCGTTGCATGCGAACGCTCCGGGTGCACCAATGAAATCGCGCCGTCCGCACTCTGGCGGCGCGAATGCAGCATAATCGGGCCAATCAAACGACAGTGTCGGCCGCGCCCGGGCCGCCCGGAGTCCGGCCAGATTCCGGCAGAGTTCACACGGAGTCCGGCAGAGTCCGGAGCAGAGTCCGGCGGGGCGGATCGGACCGGACACGCACCTGCCGCGTCACCTTGTGAGTCAGCGGCGCCGCACGCTCCCAGTCGCGCTCTGTCGAGCACGTTCCTGCCCGCCCACCTCCCCGTCCAGCAGCCGGGCTCTGCCGCCGCGTGCCCGGGCGTCACTCTGACATCACCCGCGTCACAGCCGTCACTGCCGTCACGGGCGGCGGTAGCGTCACATGGAATGTGTGTGGGAATGTTGCAGCCGGCGGTATGCGACACGCTCCGCTGGATTGTCGGCTGTGTGGTGCGCTGGGTCTCAGGGGCGGCGCTGCTGCCGAGCCTCCGATGGAGGGCAAGAGGGGATCCCCGCGGGCCAGGTAGAGCACCTGTGGTCGGGACCGCCCGGTGTCGGCGTCACGGGCCATCTGCCGGTGCTGTCCGGTGATTCAGGAGCTCGCGATGGTCGGTAAGAGCGCCTTAGCCGGTGATTAGCCGGCCGATCTGACTGCGCAGAGCGCCGACTGCAGGCGTGCTGACGGCCGATGTGTCAACGCGGGCTCGGCGGGCGGCCTCGTAAATCAGCAGCCTCCCTGCGATCATGGTCACCGCAGCGGCAAGGTGACTGTTAGCCCGGCCGGCACCGCCCTGCTGCAGTCGGCACTGAAAGACATTCGGCACCGGCGGCCGCAGAGACAGCGAACCCGCCGTGATTGACGGCCGACCGACACGGCCGGTGCCGACCCGTGCCGCGGCCGCCGGCGCCGCGCGAGCCAACACCCGGTGCCGGCCGGCCGCCATGGCCGCTCTCTGTGGAGTGGTGACTGACGGGTGGGCGAGGGCCACGCGAGAAGCACCTCTCGGAGCCCAGAGAGCCGGAGGACCGGCCGATTTGCCGCCACACACCCACACCTACTTTCACCGATGCAGCAGCGACTCTGAGGCTAACGATGATCCGTCCTTCGTTGGACGTTTCCAATCTTGGCCTTCTCAGAAGGCTGCGTTCCGCTGAAGCTGACCATGTCGAATGCCTCAAACGGCGCGAGAGGTGGCGTGGCGGCGGAGTTTCCCGTGTCTGGTCACCCCACCATGCAGGTCAGCCTGTCCGTACCAGGTCGGTCAGACCGCTGAGCCAACCTACCGCCGTTCTGACGCAAGTACACGGACCGCCCTGAAGGCGCTGACCGACTCCTCCCCGATGACACGGTGATGAGCTTCTCTGAAAGGCCGCTGGTCACCTGCGCGGCCGGAAAACCACCGCTTCCAGTCGTCCGTCTGCCCCGGCGCCCCGGGCAGTGCGCCGCGAGCCCGCCAACGCCGCCTCAGACGTTCAAACGGGCGCGCGGCCGCCGCAGAGGAGACGCCGGCTTTTGTACCCATTGAAGGCCGCCGAGATCGCTATCTGAAGGCAGCGAGGCGGGGGTGGCGGTAGAAATGATTGGGGTAAAGGTCTGCCGCGCGGCGGCGGCGGCGGAGGGGCGGCGGAGCGGTCGGTGAGGTATTTCCGGGGACGTGCGTGCCACACGCGTCGCGCGCCGTCCCAGCACGGCCCGCGAAAGCATTTCCGATCGGCGTGCTCGCCGGAACCCCGCCCGACAGGGGACAGGCACCGCCACCTCGCCACGCCGCGCCCGACCGCACCTCGGGCAGCCGTAGAAAGTTTCGTAGAAACACCGGTCGGCGGCGGCCGAAAGACAAAGCAAGGGCGCGGGTCAATTAGACTCCGTAAAACCCACGTGTCGGCTGGCACCGCGCGGCAAATGCTCCATGGAAACGCGAAGAGCAGCATCGCGGGAAGGCGTTTGGCCTTCGCGGCCAGTCGCCGCCGGGGGGCAGACGGGCCGGCCCCGGACGGAGCGGTACCGGCGCGGGCTCGGCCGCCGCGCTCGGCGGAAGGCGGCCAGTTTCGGGGAGCGTGCCCCCCGCCGGCGCCAGCTCACCCTCGCCGCTTACCGGGAGAGGCCGGTGCCGGAACGCGGTCGTTAACGGCCGCTGCGAATCGGTGCCGAGATCACCGCGCGCTGGTGGTGCAACACCTCAGCAGGCCCGTGCGCGGCTGCCGCCGGATGATCAGGTAATGAGCTTCATGATCGACCCCGCACGGCCTCGCGATTGGCCTTTTACGTCGGCAAAGCCGTGCTACAGTTAGCCGGCCGGATTTTGAAGCCGACTGGAAGCGCTCGATAAGGTGCAGGCGCCGAGCACGGTTCCGCCACGCGCCCCACGTCCGGGTGCGCCAGTTTCGTGCCAGACAGGGCGCCTCTAACCGCCCTTGTTCTGCGACGGTCTTCCGTTGTTTAAGTTTCTCGCCGTCATATAGGTGGGGCCGCAGATCCGGGGCCTCTAAATGTCGCATCGCGTTATCTTGTGACGAAGCTGGTCTCACTTTTTTCAGGGTACAAGTGCACTGAAAGCACGTGACGACGACGTACGCCATTCAACCGGCCAGACAAGCAGTGATAACACATTCCAATGACGTGATCGTAAACAGAACAGACTCACGACGTAGAGGAACTAAATGCGAGTGTGTGCCCCGATTTGTTCCGAGCTTGTCCCTAAAAGCTATTTATTTGAAATGTTCGGTGCAATCAAGCTTGATGTCTGCCGACCCGATAAATTGCTTGTCCCAAAGGGCTGAGACTGACAATTAGCAGGAATGGAAGAAACTCATTTTGCGAGAAATTTTATGGGTGCCCCCATCGGCAGTAAGATAGATAACCAAACAGATAAAAAACAAATAAACTAGCAAACGTCTGCTTGTGAACAATTGGTACCAAACAGTTTGCTAACCACTAACAATGTTATTTTTTAGTATCCTAGCTGATCAGAGCGCAGAGTGATGACGTAAATTGGTCCCGGTGTCACTGAAGTGGTCTCATTTTTCGTAATTTGCTACCACAGACGCTTGTCGTCTCTCTCGATGTTTCAGAGCCGTTAGATAACGCCATTGAAATGCCATTAGAGGCAGGATTCGCTGTTGAAACACAGTACAAAATCCCGCTAAGCGTTGTGCTGGGTTTTGTACCCATTGCGCTGTGAGCAAGCTCCGTGAGTCAGCAAAGCTAGATTCAGAGACAGACATTGTTTTACAGCCGTCCTCCAGCCGCAGACACTTCACGCCAATATGCGTCAGATTTTTCCGGGAGTGAGCGGTTTGTTTTGAGTGCGAGATCGGTTTATTAACACGGTCAGGCCGGGGTGTTACCGGACTGGAGGACCGCCGCCGACCGACTGTCACCTGGCGCCGACTCCCACTGAGATCATACGGCACCGACCGGCGCGGCCGCAATGATTTCGCCACGCACACACTGCTCCGTTTACCCGGCGGTAAATATTCATCAATAACTCGGTCAACGTTCGTAAATGATCACCAGGTGAGTTATGCTTCTTGAGAAAGAGTAAACGAAGCATCCTTATTCAGTTTGCATCGTTTCTCTGAAGCGGTCTGGGGCCGCGCCGATCCCCTTCCCCTGTTCTGCAGAGCCGCCGCCGCCGCCCGGCGCGGGCCTCTCGCGGCGGGCGGTGGCGGCGGGCGGCGGGCGGTGGCGGAGGGCGGTCAGTGGGCCGCCGCCCGCCGCCCGTCGGCGCCGGCCCGCTCGGTCAGCACGATCACGGCTCGGCTGCCGGCGGCGGCCCTGTTACAGTCGATATCAGTGTTGGGGTAGGTCGGGCCGCGCCGGCCGGCTGCCAGCCGCTCCCTGCCGGCCAGCCGGTGCAGCGCGGCTGCCAGGGGTGGCCGCTGCCGCCGCCCCGCCGCACCGCCCGCAGACACGGGTCGCAGGCCAGGTGAGGAGGCGCCGCACCGCTCCAATCACCCCCGGGAAGCCCGACGCGGGTCAGTCGCGGACCACTAGTCGCGATCGGGTCCGTCCGATCGGTGGGAGCGTCGCCCCGCTTCCCTCCCGGATGGAAAGGGAGGCAGAGCTCAATCGGAAATCCCGCCGGCGGCGGCGTTTGCCTTCAGGCGTTACCGGTCGTCGTGGCTGATTGCCGAGAGCCGTTGGCCGACCAGCCTTCGGGTTTATCCACTGGGAGTGGGGTCACGCCAGCACGGTCAGCGCTATTTGCTTAGTGATGCACAAAGAATGTCACCACCAAAGGCCAAAGCGATGACGCGGATGGCCCCTCTCCCCGTTCGGCAGCGTTCGAGCGCTATTGTACGACCGGCAGTGGTATATCGGTAGCGTGCGGCGGATCGCTAACGGCCAGCCGCTATTACTCAGCCGTTCTCGAGTTCGCTGAAATCGGGCGACCGGCTCCGTTTCGTCCGGTGGCCAAAAGTCATGTCAGCGCGGTGTTAACACTGCATTGTAAAACGTTATCGGTCGGCGGCACCAGCCGGACCACCCTTCTGCCGCGCTGGCCGTCCAAAAACGCTGCGGCTAGATTTTTGACATCGGAATTTCCCCCTGAAATCCCAGCACTGGTCGCTGCCTGCCCCATCGAGTGGCACTCCCGTTAGCCCGCCGGCGGCGCGTGGGGTACTTACGAATGCGTCCATTTTCATGTCGACCTCGGGCCGCACCCGATTGTTGAGTGTGATGATGCGGTTCAAGATGACGGCGTCCGGCGGCGCCTGCATGGTGACGTCGCCATCGAACGCCTGAGAGTGCTCGATCGAGCAGGGGTTCTTCCACTGAGAGCGTCTCGCCGTCGGTGCCGACATGGCCGGTGAGAGTGACGATAAAAACAGGAACAGAAATACTGACGGGTCTGCAAAACGGAGACGGCGGCTGTTAGAGGTCGGTTCACATGGACAGGCACGCATGCATATCAGCAGGTCGGTGCGGGGTAGCGGCGGCACGTGTCCCACACTCGGGGACGGACGGACGGCCACCGTCGTCGGTGTGGTCGGGAGACTGCACCGACGCACACGACACCACCCCTGCCAAGGTGGGCGCCGGGCGACCGTTTACAGCTCTCAGACAGGTGCCGCGGTCCGAGGTCTGACTCACAGTCACACGACAGGCGAACAGAAACACGGCGACTGATATAGACGGCAGCCGCCCGCGCCACGCGCATAGACATACACAGAGCTCCTCCACGAACTAAGACGTCATTAAACGTTCCGACATCGTGCGGAGGAGTTCCACGGGATGGCGCACGGCGCAGGCACCAAAAATGGCCTCATACGTCAGGCCTGACTCATGCTTCAGTTTTATGCCGCCAATTTTGACATTTCGTACACGCTTTGTCAATCTGATGGCGAATGTCAAGCGATTCATGCCAGAAATACCTGTCGTTTTCATTGAAACAAACGTCACCCCATTCATTTCATTGTCGTTCAACCGGCTTAGGAGATTTGAAACAGGTTGATGTCACCGACATGGGATTATACTAAATTACACTAAATAACAAAGTAAACAAACACATCACGGAATAAATTCAACCGCAAACACCGCTGATAAGCCGGTTGCGGGGGAGGAAAAATCACCTGTCTTCTGGCCGCCATCCCAATTAAGACGGCGGTCGGTGGACCACAGCGGCAAGTGCCGCGCCATGCCGCGGGTACGCCACTGCTCGCCGCACTAGCCGTCTCGACCGCGCCATTTGGCCGCGTTTAACGAGCGGCGCAGACGCGCTGTGCGCCGCGCTCGCCGCGCTGCGCCATTCCACGGAGAGGGCGGTAATTTCGGCGGAGCGGCGGTGTCGGCGCGGCGGCGGCGGAGGCGGCGCGGCTGCGGCAGAGACGGCGCTGCAGGGCGATGTCATTGCGCAGTGAAGCCGTCAGCCGCCGCCAGCCCACCCTAACGGACTCGCGGCACACACAGGCCGACCATGAGAGTGACAGAGAATTGCCCGGGCGCGCTGCAGAACTAATGCCACCGCCGCCGCGCCGCGCCGGTGCCGGCGGCGCACCGAACACCCATTCCGGCGTGCTGTTGCCGGGCCGCAGCTCAGGTCATCGAGGTCACGCTGACCGGCGCGAAGGGGAGTCGAGGACAGCGCGCAGGTGGTGGCCCACCTTCCGCGCTCGGTCGAGGCGAACACGAGCTGCAAGTAAACGCCGTCCACTCCCCCGCGGCCGGAGACACCAACGGCGCACCTGCGACATCGCCGGCGCACCTCGACCGGTCCGTCTTGCACGCGCAGTCAGCCGCGACCGATCGGCGAACAAAGCGGCCGTCCGCGCGTGGACCTTGTGCCGAGCATGACATCATAGCCGTCTCTGGGACCGCGCCGCAACTGCACCAATAATAAGCATCTGCCAGCAGGCGCGACGCGTCAGCCGAGAGGGGCGACCTTCTGACCACCGCGCCGACTGCGTCATCTGTGTAGGACGTCACGTCACAGCGGCGTGTGTGTGTCTGTCTGCGGACCGGTGTGTGTCGCTGACGCGGAGCCATCTGGGCGCGGCAGAACAGTGTCCTGTCACTGTGTACACACACCGTGTTGGCGGCATGCACTGTTCAGTCGCCGGGGCGGTTAAAGACACCGCCGACCGGAACATCTCCCCAGGCGCTTGTATAGGACGGACCCGACGCCTCCAGCCGAGTCCCAGAGAGGGACTATTCGTCATCACAGCCAGCACGTGCCTGGGGACGTGATACGGCAAATAAACGGTACCAACAGCTCTTTGGTGTTAGAGCGAGGGGAGCTCTCATGACCCGTCACCGCCCCGATAGCGGTATAGTGGTCCATTATGAACCAATAGCCGCAGACCCGTCAGCACGATGATTAATGCCGATTTGGATGACAGTTGGCCGGAAAAGAGTCTTAGGGTAGGCTGGTGGAGCTCAGCGGCGTGGTGTCTTAACCAGTTATTGAATGATTTATGAACTAATCCGGACACTTTCAGAAGTGCAACGACTAGCAAGCGGCGCTTTAGTAGCACATGCTGCAAAAATCAACCAGAGATAATCGCTTTGATAGCGACAAGGCAATAGAGATAATGTGCATCAATAAACAATGCGGCACCAAAGCAGCAGCCCTGCGGAATGCCGGCAATCACAGTCGCTCGCCCTTGGCTGTGCCCGTGCCGGCCAGCTGCCGTCGACAGTGCACACAGATGTCAACGGCAATCGTCCACACCATCAGCCGCACCAGGCGTGCAGACGGGCGAGCGCTTCGACACCAGCCGAAATCACGACTGGTGTCCGGCTCTCGGTGACCGTCACGATGTCGCTGCGCCCGGCGCCTGCCGTCGCGGGTCCCCTCAACCAGGGCAGGGTCCGGGTCAGCGCTGCCCCTGCGACTACTGCGCGGCTCGTGCGGTGCCCTTTCATCGGGTCTTATCTCGTCGTTTACTTTATTGGGACTGTTAGCGGGAAGCCGGCGGTCTCGTGTGAGCTGTTCCGTTGCCCGGATCGTCTTCCGGACCGTTGGAACGCCGCTAGGGGGGAGGGGGTACGTCACAGCCCGGCCGCGTGACGCGATCGGCCACCGTATAAAGACAGCTTTAGACAAAAACTGGACGCGAACGAGACGGTAAAATGGATTTATGCTTTAAAAAAAGAAACGAGCACATCGCAAGAAGCAAAAATGTGTTTCTAGATTGAATTTCGTTGAGAACTGAGTTCACACACTACACAGCTGGCTGCTTTGTGACAGTTGAAGAACTAGGCATTAAGGAGCTTCTCACGCGAGAATTACGCCTCGGCGATTTTTGGTGTTTCTCTCCACCACAGCCTAATCTGTCGGCCGTGTCAGCAGGCTCTCATGAAGCCGCGCGCGCGCTGTCGTCGGCTACCTGCACAGGCCACTTTCTAAAATTTGTTCACGGCCTTTCTGTGGCATTGACTGTGGCGACACTCCGCGAAACGTCACACGATCGGGACTTGCGGTGGATACCGCCAGTGGGTTACTGGTGTGATTGAAGAGGTCAGCGGGGAGGTCAGGAGCCACACGGGCAGTCCTCAGCGTCAGGAGTACGGGGTACCTGATGGAAAGTCCCGACTCATCTCTGGGCAGTGTCTGGTGCCCGTCCACGTCAACTCATCGGAATGCATGCCACTCATTTCAGGTAGCGCTTGACGTCACGAGAGGCAATAGTATCGCCTCATTGATCTGTACTTTACGTGCCACTGTTCTGTTTGACTGTGTGCCTCAGCAGTAGCTAAAAGGCGGCACCAGGCGTTAAAAACGTTTCTTTCCACGCCGCCTGGCAATGCGCAGTATCGGCCTGAATTCGTCACCAAAAACCAACAAATCGCCTGGCCACCTTGCAATCGCAAGCAAGCGAACAGCCGACTCAACACCGGCGAATTACCAGGCAGCAAGTCAACGCACCGGTCGCCGCCCTCGTCCGGTCGAAATTGCGCCCCGGCCGGGCCGACCCGTGAGAGTCGGCCGGGTCTAGCAGGTCGAGCGGAGAAGGTCGAGTCGAGCTGCTCGGCCACTATACCGGCGGATAAAGATGTCGGCTCGTCGACAGCTCCGAGGCCTCCCCCGCTGCTGCGTCATCCGACACGTCATCACGGCGCGATCCAGGCGCCAGCCAGACCGGCGCCCCAGCTGATAGTGTGAGCCAGTGAGTGAGTGTGTGACTAGGACGTCACTGGCTCCAGTCAGGCGCGCCGCCGAGCCATGCCGCACAGGTGAATGGAATGATGTCCTGTCCAGGCCGGCGCAGGGTCACCGTCAGAGCGGTGGTAGGGAGATCCCTGACCGCAGCGCCGCCGTCCGGACTCGTCACCGGCTGTAACCATTGGGAGGCGTTCACCTGAGACATGCGAGCCGTGACCGGTCACCGGGTCATCGGTAACCGGAACGGGACGGACACGGCCGACCTTGTCATGGTCAGCCGATGTCCAGGCCGCACTGGGACCGACATTCTCCACCGGCCGTTGTGTTACGTTAGAACTAAACCTACGTCATTGCGAAAGAATAGCAAACTGATGCGTCATGAGGAGCAGCCGGTACCCACGGAGCCGGCGACGGTGGACCGGACTCAGACATCGGAACAAACTTTGTAACTGCTGAGTCTTGATCCTGCCACCCACGCTTTATAATCATGACACCTGGCTATCCGTGCTAAGCCGTGTCGAGCAGCGACAGCACGCAGATTCGTTGAGAAAACGTCCGGAAGGGACGGCCAGGTTCCCTGGCTGACTAACACAGGGTCTCGCCGGCACGAGGCCGCTCAGCTCCCCTCCAATTGTTCGGAGCCGCCGCCGCCGCCGCCGCCGCCGCCGTCGACACCTGCCGACGGCGACTCACGTGTCGGAACGTGTCGTCAGCACGTGGCGACCACGTGAGTTTAGCGCGCGACACTTGAATCGACACGCACGTCTGCCGCTGTTCGATGCGATGCGCGGCGTGTTGGCCAGTCCGACTGCCCGATATACCCGGTGCCGAACTGTGTGTCCGTGCACTGAGTTCACCTGACAGTCCTGAGACCTCACACGACTAATGGCACGGCGGCGAAGACGGCGCATTGAGCGCGCGCGGCCAAAAATGTGTCAGACACGCCGGCAGTGACCTAGTGAAATCCCGACCTATCTCGAGAGTGTATTCGACAGCGGGCCGACCGCGCCTTGAGCGCGGCCGCCGCTGCCGCTATGATACGGTCCGTTTATGAACAGGGCGATCGGAGCCCATTGACTGGCCGCCGAGCTGTTGTGATGGGACGGGGCGACAGACCGGTTTCAGCGGCGGCCCGCTGACACAGTCGCACGCCCCCTCTAACCTACAGCGGGCCGACAGATTTGGACAGATAACCGGCGGCTTGCGGTCGTCGTCAGGACTGCAGGGGGGCAGACGGGGCAGGGGACACACGGCGGTCCTCTCTGCGGTACCAGCGGCACGCGAACAGTCAACGACCCGCATTTTTCTCTCCGCTCGTCTCCTGAGAAGGGGGCTTTCTAACGACAGTGAAAATGCGCTGTGGGGTCAACAACCGGCAGGCATGGGGACGGGGACCGTGGCTTCGCTCCCTGCTGCTGAGCCCCCACGGCGCCAGGCCGAGCGGCCGGCCGCGCCGCGCCGCGCCAGACGCCACAGCAAGGCCGCCCATGGGCGCTTCACGAAACCGCGGGTCAACACCACGCCGGGATGGTACCAGGAACATGCCGGCTGCAGGCGGGGCGACCCAGTGAGCCTCGGACCGACACCCCGCGCCGGCTAACAGTCCGGCACCGCGCCTAATTGCGTCATGCATACGGCATCATCTTGCATCATACGCTGCATACCGGGTTATCGTACAGACCGTGTTCGGTGTGATGATTTTTGTGAGTCCATCATGTTTTCAGCGTACCCGATCGAACGGCAGTGGACAGCCAGGTGGGCGCCCAGACGCCACTCCAGTAATCCCCCGACACCTAGACATAACAGTCTGGCAAAATGATTAGCCTTGCAAGCATGGAAATGGGCGCGAGTGTCTGAGCGCACCCAGCTTGTCGCCGCGGCCGGGCAGAGACGGTCGGCACGCTCTCCGTGTCCTCCGTCAAATCACGCTGTAAGCTGGCTCTCCGCCGACGCCGCGCACGACCAGTTTGTCGGTCGCTCACCAAACGACATCCCCAATCTACATGGTGTGACAGGGGTGCAGGGAACGGGGGAGCGGATCAGCGCGCAGCCGAAATGCCAGCAATGCCAGCGATTTTTACCCACCCTTTGCCGTGGATTTAACTAGATAGTTTCACATTCAAAACAGAACATGCCGAGTGTTAGAAAATGGAGTACAGTTACGAGAGAAGTTATTTGGTGTCGGCCAATTGTTCATCCACCAGTTGATAGGTAGGTTCGGTCCGGTCAACTACACAATGAAATATAACAGTGCATATAAGGAAATATATTTTCGTATTTCATGGACTCTGACGTCAGGCAATGAAAGGGACCTATCGATATTGAATTTTGCTAAGCTTAATTGATGTTCGTACTTCGTTGTATAGAAAAACAAAACTTCAAAATAAAATTAACAGTAAACCATGCATCCGCTATTTACAGCTTCTAGTACGTGGTGTATGCAAAATTGTCCGGGAACTCGGGTTCGTTTTTCATTTTCAATAAAAAACACAATTCTAGCGAACAGTGTTTTTAACTATTGAACACAAACCTTCGGTTAGTATGTGCATTTTATGTGTGCATATTTTACGTGCAAAACGGTGATAGTTTGGAAATTACCAATCATAGTTAACTCAAAATATAGGAACCTTACAGCCGCTCGGAATACCAGAAACTCTTATACCTACGACAATAAAAATTAATTAGAACCTCAAACCTTTCGGTCCGTGCTCGACTGATACAATTCGACGATGTACTCACGTTTGAATAAATACTGGAATGCGTGGAGGCAGGGTGTGCTGTGTCGTACCGTCGCCGCCGACACGGGCACGGTCCGCCTCCGCGAGCCGTCGACGGCGTGCACATGGGCCGTCTGTGTGACGGTGTGTGCACAGTCGAGCGGCCCGTGGCCGCAGTCACATGGCACCCTGCACTGGCACGCGCTGCACTCGGAGCTGTCACCCCGCGACGCCGACGTCAACTCCATCACGGCTCGTCCTCTGATAGCGCTCTCTCTCGCTCTCTGTGCTATCTCTCTCGCTCTCGCCGTATGCTCTACCGACCAGCCGCGGCCGCCTATGTCGCCTCACCGACTCCTGCCGTGCTACTAATGCACCTCATAGCGTACACACGTATAATATCGTTCATCCAAAGCGCCTCGCTCACCAGCCGTCTCCATTGGCTGAGCGCAGTGCGGTGGGCGGGGCCGTGACGTCAGACAAGGTGACGTCACCTCGCCGGCTCGAAATCCCGGCGGCTGCCGACCGCGTCATACGTTGCATGGCAGAGCGGCGCGCGGCCCGGCGGTGCAACCACGTGCAACGGGCGGCCGACGACCAGCACCGACGGCCAGCGACAGCCGCCCCCTCGGCAAACCTTCCAACGGGAACTGGGGCGTGTCACGCTGACAGGGGGAGGGGACAAGGCCGTCTTCTCACCGTTCGGGGTCGCCTGAATCACCGGAACCTACTTCAGACCCGATAACGCATTCCGATGACGTAGCGCGTATCCGGGAGTGCCGGTGTCGACGCAATACGCACCGCTATCGTCGTCTGGCCGGCGTGGGAGTAATCAGAGCGAGCCCGGCTGCTCGGCCAGCTCCGCGCAGGACTGACTGAAGCTATAATTGTCGCCGCATTTTATTGCTCGCTGAGACGGCTTATCTGGATTTATCGGTTCGTAATATGGCGGTGACGACCTGCTGAATTGGGAGTGGGCCGGCGATCGGACATCACCGGTCCATGGGAGCAGCGGCGGGGCACAGGTGCAGTCGGCGGGCAGAGCTGGGCAGCTATCGGCGGCGGGGGCGGCGGAGGCGGCAGGTACAAAGTGCTGTCGTCGCCCTGCGCGATGCCGGTGCTGCCGGACAGCTGCTGGGCTCCCGTCGGCCCACTGAGTGCCTTATTGTCGTCAGCGCCGGACGCGCCGCGCCGGCCGATTGGACAGTGGCGAGACACCGAGATTAGATAAACTGTTCTCGTTAACGGTGAGCGAGAATCGTTGCGCGACCTGCATCCGGAAACAGTTTGCGAGGCTGCGCATATGGGAGGTTCCGATTCTCAGAGGCAAAAACTAAAAAGGCAAATTTTCTGCGCCCATATCAGTTCAGCATCATAATGTTCATCGACTTTCCAACCTTTGATCGTAAAGGTTTAGTTTTACCTGTTATTATGGCATCATCGTTATTCGTTACAGCCACTGGGAAATTTGTGTTGCAAAATAACACAGTGATAACTTCAATCCCACTAGCAACGCCATCTTACAACGAAAGGTTTTAGCAATCGAGTCCTCGGGGAATTGTCACAATCTTGTGACAATTGACTCCGTTCTTCTTCGCGCAAAGCAGTTTTAGCTGATAAATGGAGTGACAGAACACAGAGTTTGGAGGCTTCTGTTTAAAGCTGTTATTTTTGGAGTCTTCCTTCGCAATGGTTCACGTTAAAAAATATATACCAAGAAAATAAAAAATATTAAGATAAAAATATAAATAAATAATAAATATAAATAATAAAATACTTTCCTCCTTTAATAGAAAGAAAAATGTTTGAGCAGCTTGTTATGATCCTTAATTTTGATGAGTTCGTTATGTATTCAAGCCAATATTTGCAGAAATTAACCTACCTATCATACTGAGTTCTGTATAGCACTGCCACTGAAAACTGCACCGGGCCGAGTTCAGAGCTAACAGCTACTAAACACTACCATTCATTCGAGCTATTTCGGTCAGCGAGGGCCCGATTTAGAAACGGAAGTCTGACGTATATCTGACATTCATGGTCATGGTGCAGTGCGGCGAGCCAGTTGAGCGAACCATGGCCTGTGGCCTTGAGTGACACTCTTCCAACTACCATACAGAATTCAGCAGACGACTCGACTGAAACTGCAGCCAGCAGCGAGAGGAAGGCATGAATTTATCGAAACATGCACGCCCCTGTCTAGAAAGGAACTTTTGTGAAGGCCTGCGACTCAATTTTGTAAATGATGCAGGAAAGCATGGTTTGACGACTCTCAGCGCACTAGCGAGTCCCATCGGTTACATAATTAGCTCGTCCGCCTATTGTGCTGCCATTTTTAGAAAGTTTGTTTGATGATTCGATGAGTCGTTCGGGGACCACGTTACAGAGAGCACCATTCTGATATCGCAACGGGAGCATGTCTGTCCACGCCTGTTTCGACGGGCTCGTTTTGTCAAACACCGTACTTTTTTGAAACGTTGACGGCAAGTTAAAAAATTAATTGCCATCAATAAATAGCAAAAAGGCTATCAAAGACTACCTTCATTTTGCGGGGTAGAAGCGTGGTGGATTGTGATGCTAAAATGCAGGGCCAAATCACAATGTGTTGCTGTTTAGGGTCGAGTGTTCATATGTATGTCATGAGTCTGCAGGGAGTCATGAGGCATGAATTTTGAAGCGGTCTAAAACTGGTAAAGTGGCTCAGTGAATGTGAAGTTAAATAGCTTGTGTTGGAAAAGAATAGCACCAATGCAAGATTTTAAGTGCGTCATGATGATTACCAATGCATTCCTTTGGGCGTAGGTTCTCCTCCCTTACCTTCCAATAACTGCGATTTTCTCTGTCTATGACAGCATCCATCCATGTTATCATCTTCCAATTTATCAACAGCAACCATCGTATATCCCTCCTCTTCTCGCCTCATCCTTCTGTCTGCTGTGCACATTCTCTCCTTTCCACTTCGCTTTTGACCGCCATCAGCCCGCGCCATAGCCTAAGTAGTCCTCCACCATCGCCGAAACGTTCGGGAGCGATACCGATCATTCCAGTCTCCCTTTCTCCTGAGCGCGCGCGCGCGCCGGCGTGCGTTCTCTGCTGTGATTGGTCGCCGGTGGGGACGGAGGGACGTCATGGACCGATCAGAGGCCACCGTTTGGACCCGGTCCTCCGACGGAGACCGCCCGCTTCCGGTCCTCGGTTCAGAGCGGAGCGGAGGGCAGGAGGGGCGCCACGGGCTTTAGAACACTGGACAGACGAGGTGGGCAAGTAGTTTGAAATTGCGAATATGCTAAATTTTAGCGGTTTGCACAGCGTTAGACTCAAAGGAACGTCAGAAAGAGGGATTAACATTCAATCACTTCATCAGCGCGATTAGTTCTGGAAAGTATTGTTGAGGTGTCTGCGTATCACCCACCCAGAAACACCCTTTCTGAATGTGGCAGTACCCATATGCACCAAGGTGTCTAGTTTATAAGACGGTTGCATCATGTAATCATGCAGCTAACACAGGCTCCTCGCCTGTATTTTACCATCCACCTGTTCAACAAGCGCCTCAAACAATGAGTTTCTTGCGGCTTGGACCACCCGCGGACGTTTGGCAGCGGTGTTTCTCCATTGTTACCACGAGGGGCCTCGCTCACCACCGGCGTTCCCCGCTCCCTGCCCGGCCAGACTTTTCTCAACAGAACACAGCCGAGCCCCGTCAGCGTCCAAATTTGGATTTATTCGCTACCAGTGACACACATTGGTCTCGTAACGCTCGGAGCACGTACAGGAAAGGACATTTCAGGAAGACTTGGCAAGGTCGTCAGCCCGTTGCTTACATGTACTAAAACCAGCAAAAGGGCGCGTTTGGCAAAAATTGGCACATGCGCTATCGCACGCCGTTCGCCTGATTTCCAGGTTCAGTGCGGGCTGGGTGCTATGATTCACACGAACAACCGGTCAAGTGCTGTTCCGAAACAACGGCGACCTGGTACGCGGCAAAATCCTCGCCGCGTGCCTCGAAAAAGTAAAACTTGGGATTAGTTCAGCCCGCGAATCTGGCGCTATAATGTGCATGACGTGAATGGATATATAGGATGTACGCGTGGCTTGATATATTGCAGAAGATGGCGAGCAGATGTTTGGTATTCAATCCGAAATTTCTGTGACGGTGAGTTTAATCTGACCGGACTGCGAGGGTTGTTCGGTAAGCTCTATGAATTAATGTTCCGGACGCGGCTAGCTCAATTCAGATTAGGCAGGTGTTCCCGATAGTTGAACTATGCAGGTGTCCGATCAAAACATCACAATGTATTTCATACACACACCATGAACTTGTCAATGCAGTGGTGCGTGGCAATGTTGAATATGCATGCGTCGTTCCTTTGCTTGTGTATCGTCCTCTGCCGTTAAGCATATACTGACACAAGCGGAGATGGGCATTGACGTGCTAAATGTGCATTGCTTATAATTAAATGTTTCTGCAACACTGACCTCTAATTATTTTCCCTGGTGGTGAAACAGCAATTCTGAGCTCTAACATTTGGGATCCTTTCTGGAATGGGGAATGTGCGGCAAGCACTAAAACCAGTTGTGCTCATTGCTCGAGTCTTTGGCATCTATACGCTAACGTACGCTAACGTACAGTCCCACGACAAGGCATGATAAGTAGAAATATTGCGGCGCAGTAGGCCTCTATGTGCGCAGAAGTTGGCCCGTGACCGACTCCGTGAATGGCGAGCTCAGGAAACGGAACTTCATACACAGAAGTACAGTTTTGTACACAGAAATGTAGTTTTATACTTATTTGGGAAATGTTTAACGGTTAGGTAATATTTCTCTAGCTTCATTCATAGCGGGACTGTCCCATGGACCATTTCCGAGAATAAATAAACACTCAGCAGAACAGGCCTGGAGGCGGCGACCAAGACGCTGTCGGAGTTCCTGGCAACGACCGGGGGACATCTGAAAATCAGCTGTCCGCCTGAGGTTTCGGCCTATAATCAGTTTCGATCCTGAACCATTTGGTTCCAATCCCTAACAATTTGGATCTGATCCTGAGCCATCGGGGCGCGTTCCGAATCAATCCGAGCTGGGCCAAAAATATCCGGAGCGGACTCCGTTCCATGTCACTCGCGGAGAGTAAGTCGTGATAAAACATAGGAGCTATAACCGAAGGTATGTTGTCAATAGTTAAAACACTATTCTTTAGAATTGTGTTTTTCTAGTGAAAAACAAATCTGAGTTCCCTGACAATTTGGCAAAAGCTGCCTGAGATTGGCGGGAACCATAGACCTCTGTATACAGAGGTCTATGCGGGAACGTATTCGTTTTCTAGGCCCGAATATGCACATCAATGCGAGGTGACCCGGTAC